CTGAACCTGGCCGTCGCTCTGTTCGACGTGGAGTGCGACGACTGGCGCTCCCAGTGCAAGCGTCCCAGTGCGTCACATGTGCGGGGTCATGAGAGGACACGCAGGATGCGCGCCTATTTGCGCGGCAATGTCAGCGCCACGTGCCAAGGAGTACAGAAGAAGGTTGTGATATGAGCGCGTGCTCGACATGAAGAGCCCGTGTACACAAGCAGCATGCGGATAGCATGAAACCTCAATAAACTTATGATGATAACTCGCTAAAAAGTTTTTGCAATATTGCTCTCATCGTGCTGTTTTAGTCCCGTGCTGAAAATATAAGTTCATATATACCATTTTTGTAACTGTATATACACATAAGCACATGTAGAGATAAAATCACACTTGTCTAGGGCACCCATCCGGGCACTGCAGCTGCCATTTCCTGCAGACATATGTCAAGACCGACGCCGCAATTACACCACACGTGGTCATACTGCGTGCGAGGCCCTTGTGCTATAATTTAAGCATGAACGGAAGCTTGTGGCTAACGTGAGGTAGAAGCCGCGGCTAACAAGAGCGTCGACAACCACGCGCTCCGCTGCTGTAGACAATCCGCATTTTCCGTTTTCCTGTGCTGCCCTCTGGCGTTTTGGTACGGGCTTGGTAGAGGCCAGGAGAACGAAGGCCTCCAAGACCAGGAGTTTTACCGCGACCTTGTTGCCAGAGAAGGGCTCATGCACCGCAGTATCGTAAAAAAGGAGGATTGTGAATCTATCTGTACATGTGTATGAACGTATGTCAAGTATATACGTGCGTATATGTTTATGTATGTATGCATGGAACCACGGGTATGCTTGTGAGAGTTCGCGACCTCAGACTAATGAAAAATAGTAGTACTAGTATATAGTACTAGTATTGATTGATATCTGGGGTTTAACGTCCCAAAACCACCATATGATTACGAGAGCACACGGGCCTACAGCGTTTTAGCCTCCATCGCTAATGCAACGGCGGCGGCAGCAGCAGTAGTAGAAAATTTCATCCGAGAGCACAGGCAATTCGAGAGTAGTTACGAGAACGCGTAAAAAACAAGCAAATGATGTCGAAGACACACACCGATGAAAAAAATGCCCCCACCTCCCCGAAGGTAATCGCGATGATATGCGACTAGTGCATTGAGTAGCGTCCATAACAGCGTTTCGCACGTGAGAAACCAACGTTAGAATTTTTCGCTTACACCATGTAGGGTGCCTCGATATCGAGGCACCTTAACACCATTAAGTCAACACATAGTGTTCATGTGATGTCACTTCCACCATTGTCGCCTTCTCCCGCCATGCCCGGGTACCTCCCTGGGTACCTACGGCAGTTCGCGTGCTGCGGCGCGGTTTGTTGGGGGCTCGTCATCTGTTGTGTACGATGTTGAAAGGGTAGCATTGTGGTTTTTGTTGTCGTACATTAACGAGCTCATCGGACCAGGAAGACCTCGTTTGTTCACTCGATACAAGACCAGAAAATCAACATGTGCGACACGTATACCAGCCACCGCGTGCACCGGCTGCCCGCCACGACCTACGAGGGCCCATTATCTCACTTTCACCACAAACACTACAAATTGCGCGGCCCAAGAACAAGTGAAAGCCCAAAGTCTCTCGAGCCGCAATTTTAAGAGGGGATGAGCGAAGCGCAGCAGCTCCCATCATCGAACACGCGTCGTGCAGAGCTAGGCAAGTTTACGAGAGATATTAATATATTGCTGCGGCCCAGGCCACCAAAGTAGCAGCGCCCCCCCCCCCCCCCATGTGTTTTAAACAATGCTGATGTTGAGCCTCTTCGATTGAAATACGTGGAAGCAGCCGAGGAAAATATTATGCGGGGCAGATAGAGACTTCGCGTGGTGCGTGCCGCGGTATTGCCGGTCATCACTTTTTTTTTTTTTCGCGTATGTTTTGACACCTTTTTCACCTTGTATTTTACTTTTTTTGTACGCTAATGTACAGTGGAGTCCCTGAAAATGATGGAGACCGTGTTACGGAATGAAATGACCAATTTTTAAAAATACTGACCCCCAACTCGAACCAATCGGCTGTATTTCGAAGTGAACTAATATTGTTTTGCATCCTTTTTCACGGTTTGTTTCAATGCAATACCCGAATTTCCGTGATCACCATCACGATTTTAACCGCCTCCCTGGCACGCTGATTGTGCACGCAGTGGTCGCGGATAAGTTTGTATGTGCAGTATCTCGGTAAGCTATCTTTGTTTGCAGGTAAGTGCTTGGCTATGGCACTTACCCGGAATGAAGTTACACCTTAAGCCCCAAGTATCTCCGATTTTCTTCAAGTAGTTTTCTTTTTGTTGTTGTTAATCTGCGCCAGCCAAGCACGGCGGTGCTTTTCGGAAAATCGCAATGTGCGTTCTCAATTTTAGGTAAGAACGTTCGGAGAAGAAACTCCTCCGAAGCTCTGCTCCCGTTTTGGGGACTACTAAATCAAGTTGCCTCTCTAGCAGCCTTCAAACTTGCATCGTGAGGCAAAACTAAACGGGCACAAGCACGAGGAGACAACACGGCAGCGGTAGGCGACGGACTCTAGGTACCCGGGCATGTCGGTGGCGCATTTCGAAAGTGACGAAAGGGCGCTGCGTGACGCACGTGCACACTATGTATAGCGCCCTTCACCACACGTGGAGTTTTTCAGTCGCGAGAAACTCTGTGTGCGTTTCCAGCTCTAGTAGCTAGCGTGCACGGTTAAAAAGTACTATGAAGTGAACAAAACAAGCAGCGTTCTCGGCTCTGCATTTGTGTTTCACAGCGGCGTCTCGAGCATACATTTCCAGATGTTCCTGAGAGGCGCCCAGCCAGCGAACGGTCGAGTGGCGCGCGATCAGAAGGGAAAGTGGGGCGCAGGGAGGAGAGCGAACGGCGAGGAGCAGCGAAGCACTGCACCCACCCTCTCTCACACTGCATGCTCCGGTTGCTAGGGGCGAGGATAAGCGCACGCGCTCAAAGCTGTTGCTATGGGAGAGGAAGCGAGCACGAAGAGATAACACATTCGCGCGGACATTACCGGATGCCTGACACAGCCGACTAAGAAAGGCATTCGCATGGAGCCAAGGAACCCATTTTGTCGTTCGTGATTACGTGCGCATTAAGATACCTGCAGTTCACGGCAACCTGTCTTCACAATACTCTGCACACAAGATCATTGGAAAACGTGGACCGGCCTCGTACCTCTGGAAATTGGGCGTGTGGAACGCATCCAAGTCGGCTGCTGTTCACCCTGGTGCAGTCAAGAAAATGAAATTAGGCACCTTTGCTGTTATGAACTGATCACCTGCATCTAATCAGTCATCTAGTGCACCGCAACCCGACACATCAGGAGCGGACGAAAATGCAGGCCCTGGAACATCTGGTGCAGAGGGCACGCAAGTATCAAACAAATCTGTCGAGATCTGACGTGCCCGTCAGAACAAAGCGTAAGAAGACTCTGCAGAAATTCAAGAATTTCGTTAAGAGAAAAAAAATCACAGCATGTCCACGGAGAGGATGATGCGTGGGGCGAAGCTTCGGAGGGTTTTATCGGTAAATCATGAATCGTCCGTCTGCTGGCCGCGTCTGTTTGTCTGCCCATCCATTCATCTAGTGAACACTCCAAGTACCACCTGGAGTTAACAATCATGATTGAATAACTCTGATCTAAGGCACGTAAGCGTTATACCACTAAACTACAAGACGATGTCCGCAACGAACGTTTGCTGCACGGTAACGCCATTCTCTTGAACCGCATTATCACGCTAATGGTTAACTGTAAATGTCTAATATCTCGTGTAGAAAGAGAGAGAGGGTTTTAATTGCAATTGAAAGGATAGCTTGAAAGATTTAACCAACAAGTTATGTACAGCACTTCTCGTGTCGCTAGCCGAAACTAAAATCCCTCGATTTTTCCTATTTACCTAAATACTGACAACTGCCTCCACTCCCAGCCCTCTCTCAAGCACAGCCATTTGTTTTCCAACATGCAAGATATACAAAGCCACGTACGTCTAAGCACATTAGCCAAGAATATTTCAGCGGAAAATGCGGTAACATGAAGCACCTGAGAATTCTCCTCCTGCCGATCCCACGCGTTTCACCAAGTGCCGAGAAAAAGTTTGGAAAAGCAATACTGACAAAAACGAGCATTAGGACCAAGATTCGTAAGTGGCGCTTAAACGGTTGTGGGTAGACTGTAGTCACCGGTACTTGAGGAGAATGGAAAATCTGGGGGCTTTGACAACGACGACAGTATCCACCAAAGGGGCAGCCATAATGGAGGTCATCCAAGGCGCTCTAGAAGGAGAGATTTCTTGTTTCCATGGTATTCACAATCAATGCTCTCCACGCACTGGAGCCAAACTATGCGTATTAAACATTTTACTTTGATTTCAAAGTTTTTGCAGCCTAGCACTAGCTGGCCAAACTAAATGGACATCACGAGGAGTCAACAGATTTCACTGGGCTTGCGAACTCTTGCGTCCTGGCAGCCCAATTCTCACAAATCACCTGTCAAAGCCGCTCAGCAATGTTCACGGGCACCACGCGAGACTGACAGCTAATGACAGAGCAACTGCCAGTATGTCGTGAGTTACAGCCATCTCGCGAAATCAGACCAATGTCTCCTAGGTGTTGATCGGACTTGTGCTAATCAGTTGAGGTGCAGCGGCTCCCTCGATACCAAAACAGTGTCTAGTAGGAGTGGTATTTAAAAAAAAAACATATGCATTACCAAGCACCAAGACACCACGGTTCTCAACGCCAGTCTTTTTAAAGTTTGTGTCAGTACCTCATCGCGATAGGAAGATGGGTATGGCAGTGTGCGTCAATGGTAGGGCATGTTATGAAGGGCTAAAATGTGATGGCCCGCACCAGTATAGTCTTGCGTACACTGGCTATTAATTAGCTTCCAGAACTGATGCTGTGATGCCTTCAAGCAAAAAATCCAGTGGCTCAAAACAGCCAAAGCAGGGAAAGCAACACACCGTACTTTGATGGAAACTTTATTGTGAATTTACATTTGCCATTATCATGAATGAAAAGAAAACAAAATGATGAAAGACCAAAACAATGGGAACGTTTATGACCACAAAAATAAAGAAACTCATGGCTGTAGGAACAGGAATGAGAGCAGGTCGAAAAAGCCACTTAGTGATGCACTCGGACGGGAGGATGCAAGAAGAGCTAAGACAATTACTGACTACACCGTTTGAGCGCACGTGCAAAAATAGTGGTCACAGCAAGCAAATGGGCTCCACACATGCGCTCATGCATTGTAAACATTTCTAAGGTTTACAGCTTTCAAGAAGGTCAAAACGTTGATGTCAAGGGAGCTAGGTTCAGCACAAAAATCCCCATTCTCCTAAGTACTCCCCGAATTTCACAACTTCATGTCCAGGTAAAGAAATGGCAATCATGAACATACCCCTAATGCTCACTGTGTTTCCCTTAATGCATATGCAAAGCGCTAAGATTCTGTTGGGTAACCGCTTTTATTACAGGAGTACTTGTGCAAGAACAGAATCTAGTGCCCTCGTTCGCTTTTTTTTTTTCAGCCTAGTCTAGACACATTCATTGAGAAAGTACACTACATTTCCCAAAGTGTGAGGTCACTGAGCTTACGACGGTAAACCACTAGAAAATCAATGAAGAGTTTACAAAGTGAAAGGGAATAGTTTTCTTGGGTCAGCAGAGAGACTCAATGGTGGTCACAGGCACCACATGCAACCAAGAAAGGCATTACACAAAGGGTTTGTGGCAAAACGCGCCGCGAGATCCATCCGAGCCAGTCTGACTCTACGCCACTGCATTTTGCAGTCGCAATTGGCACACGTGAGCTCACAGACAGCACAGCGTAGAAAAACCACCGACCAAAACCATACAACAAAAAGCAAGAGCTTGATTACACACTCCTGTATAGAAAATCTTTTCCTCACTTGTACGACAAAGCAGTCACAGACATAGAGGCCGCAAAATACACGTGTCTTGCTCCTGTACAATCGGTCCGGAAAGCAGACTTTCTGCATTACTTAATTAGGGCAGGCTGCCACTGTCAGTTCACGAAACCCACACAGTCAGGCTTGGGATCAGACGACCAAAGAGCATTCGCAACCCACTGCCGAGGCTTTCAAGACTTGAGCTCTGCACAAAAGCAGCAGTGTGCAAACACTCGCAGCTTTTCCGCAACAATGCACTAGCCAGCGGCACAAATGCACACGTCCACACGCATACTATTCCCGACTCTCAATGAATGGGTGAAAAATAAGGGAGGAGGGGGTTTGGCATAGACAGGGTGTGCCTGGAAAGAATGACATTTAGTATAATCAGACATGGCTCTAAATGAGCATTTTCAAAAGCCAATCTAATTAAATTGATGAAGGCGGTGAGGAAGCAAATTCATGTATTTACAGTCTGCCGGCAGGAACATTTTTGTTCGGAGTCCCAGCTTCCAGAAAGGGCTGCGTGGTAAACAGCGGGCCGTAAGCTAGCCCAAGCCAGTTAAGGGGCAGACTGGTCTTTGGGACAGAAAAGTGACCAATAAATTCATTTATTATTATTGACATATTTGGTTGCTGCAAGTATTTTTTTATCTGCACATTTTCTCATACCAGGAAATGGGTAATTTCTTTGTAATGTCATTCTAACTGTCCAGATTCTTGGTGCTGTTAACATGCAGAACTTGCAAAAAATAGGGAACCGACTTAGAGGCTTTTTTACATTTTGCCGGCACCTGTATTAGAAGCTCTGCTACGAATTTATGAGCACCTTTATGATGATTGCAAAACATGCACGCCATGATTGTTGCTTTTTGAAGAGGCTGTGTGTTTCCAGTTTTTTCTATTTTTCTCATAAAGTAAATTCACGACTGTTCAATTTTGAGGCCTCAATATCTCTGCAGCTAGGGCAAGTACACTTTTTGCAATGGAAACCTGTATGTGTGTAGAATGCAAGTGTGGGAGCAGAATTTAGACCACAATCTTTTTTAATCAATTACTCATCAAAATTGTAACACAACTTCAACTGCTTTTGAAAATGGATAGTTCATTTTGCTATAGAATAGCCACGAAAAGGCAAAAAACAAAAAGAACTTGCATACTTTCAATCTATAGTCATTAGTCTTTGTTGGCATATCTTAAATATCACTTTTAATTAAGCAATTTTTTTCTATGGCAGCCTTAAACAATAGTGGTTGAACTCATGTTATCTCAGGAACAAAACTGGAAAACATATTAAATATTTGAAATCAGCAGAAAAAACTGCATAATCCTATGCAGATTGATCAAGATCACTGAAGATATAAACAAAAAAAGTTCTGCCACCTCAACGCATGCAGTCCTGTATTGTTATGTAAGCTACTGTGAACCAAATTAAGAATTTGAGATTAAGCCCTCAGAGAAGTAAGTTCCAAGCCGGCAATGTCCCTTAAAATCTACCTAAACTTTTGATCGACAAAAACCTGCCTCTTGACAAAATAACACACTGAATAAGCTGGGAGGATTGTGCGACTTTGGTACCACCATTCAAATGCGAAAAGCAAATCTATGGAAAAGAAAAAAAACGCAGCTTTCTGACAACTACGACAATGATGCCCCGAGTATTCTTTACCAGGGAGCATGAAGGTTATAAAATGCAGTCACAAAAGGGGCACAACGAATGAATAACTGAGATGACTGCCCAGAAAGTAGCCCCAGTGCTGATGGCTGTACGCGTTTCTTCCTGCTCTCCTTCCTCACAGAAATATCCTTTACCCGCAACTTGCAACACACATTCTGCATGTTCATTCTGTCCATAATAGAAGCTGGCTATCTTGAGTCAGCACAACCACCAGCACTCAGAAAGAATGTCTGACAGAGCTATGAATTGTAAATTAAAAACAGTATTACTTTAAAAATATTATGAGAAAAATTGACATGCTTCCCCGCCACACCTCATTATGCAAGCCTTACTGTAGGACGAAACAAACAAAAGAATGAACACGACTTGTGGATGAATATCGAAAACAAGCACGTTAAACGTTACTTAACAAATACACATACAGTCAACCCGCACCACACATCAACTCTTCACAAGCTGGTGCCACCAAGACCAGGCTTGCCACTGAGTGTTAGCAGATAGACAACGCATACACCGTGAGCTGATCAAAATTCAAGGCAAGCTGAGGACTTTATGTAAACAACTCCTGCGTAAGTTTGGCTTTCCAGCAGCCAATGACAAGTTTTCAAAGAAAAAAAAAACGATGACTGGGTCATTAAATGACCACCAAATCTATGGCTCCGGTGTCCTTTTGTTCAATGTAATCCCAATGTAATTCCTGTTTGCTGCTATTAGAGTGCCTATCAGCTTCATGTTTCAAGCAAGCCGATAAAACCAAGCAAACTGTTATCAATAATCAAAGCCAGTGAAGGTGCAATTAGTTTCATATTCAAGCTTTTGAAATAGGCACAATTGACAGAGAGCAGCGCCAGTGAGCGTAAGTAAATGGCAGCTGTTGCTGTCATACCGATACGTAGAGCTTACTGTCAAAGCAGCACTGCAAGTTCACTGAATGTGCCCGGCCCAAAAGCTTAGCCTTATGTACTAAGCACATCACTTGCAATCATCATAGGCCTTGTCGCAGGTAAATGACACAAGTGGGAACCAGAGCTCATGCCCTGTTACTCACTGCTAGCCTGAAAATTTTACCCAGGCAGCTATCTACGTGACTGCAACCTACACCCATGGTTGGAGTTGACTGAAAATGCAAATAAATACACACATTGCTTCTTCCCTCATAGTGAAGACTGGTGGGGGCAGCATGAGTGAAGTGCAGCCAGATAATTCCCACGTCAGTCACTGCTGCGATGTGCCAAGCTGAAAATGTTGCATCAAACAGAAGAACCAGAGGAGGACCTGTGAATTGCTAATGCATGGCAGAAGCCCTCAAGGACTCCAACAAACAGGCTTCACATTGGGATGATGCAAGAAATGTGTGATCTGAAAGGGGATGCGCGATGCCTGCCAGAGGAAACACAGCAATTGGGACTGTGCACACTAAGCAGCCACTTCCTCTGGTGGCTTGGTGGCCACCGGCGCCGAGACACTGTCCCCTGCGAGGGCGTTCTCCTTGGCAACCGGGGGCTCGGCATCCGCTTTCGAGTCTGCCGTCGTCGTGGCTGATGCCTTGCTGCCACCGTCTGTGGTTGCCTTCTCTTCTTTGTTGTTGACTTCGGGCTCGTTGTGATCGGTGTTGGCATCTTCGGAAGCCACTTGCCGAGCCTCGCCTCCACCGTCGTCGTTGTTCACCTCGTCCTTCTCGTCGTTTTTGTCTTTGTCGTCAGTTGACTCATCCTCGTTGGCAGCTGTCGTCGAGGCTTCCTCGGCAGACGCTGCCTCTTCCTCCTCTTCTTCGCTCTCCTCCTTCTTACTGCGCTTGGAGGCCGCAGCCTTCTTGGCCCCACGCGCTGGCTTAGCAGGGGTCTTCCGCTCCTGAAGCATATGTTAAAATATGTGAGGTTTACGTACACAATAGTGTTTTTCTATTTTTTTTTAACAAGCAAAACCATACCTACCATGGCCAGTAAGCCAATACAAACACGTACCCACTATTGCACATACAATGACCATTGCGTATAAATGACGTTAGTATATGGCTCGGCAAACAAGTTCAATATGGCTGATACCGTCTGACACACTCTGCATTTACATGCAGAGTGTATGTTTCAAAAATTGCAAAATTTTAAACTACTCTTTTGCCCAGCAAGCTCTGTTTCTGTCACAATGGTCTTGCACCATTGACTCTTGGTTTACTTCAAGGTTTGTTGAAGCCAGCTACACATCCCTCTTGCGTGGCATTAAAGGGTCCCGTAAAACACTGTGACATGCTTATAAACATTTCAGATAAACACAAGTTCAAAATGCTGTCAAGTTCAGCCACGTTAAACGCGACTCCGCTATGCATTGTGAATGTCCAACAAAAAAACAATTACGTGGACCTCTCTAAAGACTTGCCAAAGAATACAGGATTCACTCAACGTGACATCACTTTGGATGCAATGCTAATGGCAGCAGTGCAGCAATAGGCGCAGGCCATAAATAACCAAAGACTTAAGGTTAGCCTGCTAGTTAATCTCCACATCTCTGAGTACCAGTAACTCTTTCTCACTACGCTGCAGGTGCATGCAATTGTTGCATGTTTTGGTTAAAGATTCACAGTGCCACGCTGCTCATACTTCAAACAAAATGAGCCTCCAATGCGCTTGGTGGTGTGATTTGGAACAACACGGCAGCTGGACGACAACACGGTAATACGTCTCATGCCACTGGCAGGCCAATGGTGATTTTGCCTGCAATTGGCAAGTGCTCTCTGCTTAACAAAAGGTGGATCAACTTTCTATGATAGCCACAACGTGGAAAATTTCGTATGATGTGTTACTCCAGTAGCCCCACGATGGTGTCCCAGTCAGTCTCACCATTGCTTGAGAAGGCACGACTGGCACTTCCAATTTAAACACTGTTGCCAGTTTCCGCTCTCCTCACAATAATTTACCACACAGGAAACACTGCAATGTACAGTGTCTTCAGCTAGGATGCAAGCTCGACACCACCAGTCTATTGTGGCCTATCAATAGCCATGTGCTACCAGAGCTAAACATTATTTGTCTCTGTACACTCTGGGCTAAAATGTTTAACATTAAACGTCAGTTTTCAAAAAATACACAATTTTTGCGATGCTCTATCCTTGCCTGCATTATTTTTCTGGATTAACAACTGTGGTCAGTTTGTATTGTCAGAGGAGAGTACTAGCATAAGTGTCATGGACGTTGGACATGTTTCATGCCTGACGCAATCTACAACATCGAAGAACGGTGTGCCTTTTCTAAGCATGAATGACGCTTCTAGTAGCACAAGGTTGACAAAAGCATACTACAATTTTGATTACACGACTTTAAGGGGGGAGGTGGCTTTGAAAAAAAACTTTTTTATTTGTTGACCTACAGCAATCAAATTTGGCATGCATACTCATAAGTGTTTAGAATAGGGAAATATGCAGTTTTATCATGATAGCTTCAGTAGTTCTCAAGTTACATAATGCTACACGATCCAATTACATGGTCTGCTTGTGGAAAGCCTGGCGCTGCAACAAAACATGCCAGGAAGCTGCGAATGGCATTGATCTTTACTCAAAAGAAAGCTACAGGGTATGACACTCTCGGAATTTTTTAATAAGTTCTCTTTTTTTTAGAGATCATAATGGCTGCCGACACACATTGTCAGAAACAATGGCACGGACAAATCATTGTCTAGAAAAATAACAGGGCCACAAAACAGAAATTGAAGATTGCTGTACCCTCAAGCAGTGTTCAGGGATTCAGGGAAAAAAAACAAAATCAAAATCGGTCCGGTCATTCTCGTGCTACTCTTTCCACGAGCAATGGACAATGTCCAAAACACACTTGTGAGAAAAAGCCTGTCGAAGTTTTCGACAGGCTTTTTTCAATGAACTTTTTGTTTCTCGTTGGATATTGATGAATATTGGCACAGACACTAAGAATAACCTCACAGTGCTTCCATACAAATTTTGAAGCGATACCACGAATACTTTACAAGAAACAAATTATTTATTCATTGAACCATGTGGAGGGGCTGAGCATAATGTCAAAAAAAAAAAAAAGTATTGAGAAAGCTGCGTTCAAAGTTTGAACTTTTCTTTACGTCTCTAAGACAGCTGAAAATTGTGATTTCAGGTTTGTCTTGTGATATTTGACTTCTTTTCATGATTTACTCTTTTTCATGAGTTACAAAGAACAAGTATGGATTTCAAACCAAGTTCTTTGTATGCAGGAGTGGTGTGATAGATATGACAGAAAAGATTGTAATTGAATAAAACCATATACTGAAATTATTACACATACTTTTTTGTGCTGAAGTTGTAATTAGCGTAATTAAGTACTTGATTACAAATATTCACTGAACTTTTTTTTTATTTGGAGAGAAGTTTATTGCATCAGAAAAATGAATCACACCATGACAGCCTATGCCTTCTTTCTAAATAACAAAGTTATGGGCAGAAGACTGGTGGCACGGGAATTTCTAGCAGTATAATTAATGACACGAAACGGGCATATAAAAATTCGTGCCCCTGATTCACACATGCTCTTTCGCCGCTCTAGCCGTGAAACGCATCATCTTACAGCCGGTCGCGGAAACTCTAATTTACAGCAATTCATTAGCCTCGGAACATTCATAGACGTTCGTGGCAATATCAAGCACGGCTCCAAGCACGTCTGAATCTCGCATCACAAAAGCTTACTGACGGCACTCCATATGACCGTGGTGTGCGCGGCAGCGTGGACAGTGCAGCCGGCGCGTAATGCACTTGCCGGCGGCGTTCGATGACGATGTGCGAAATGTGTAACTACAAAGACAAAAAATCGGCACGCACTGCACTTGGCATCACATTTTCGAATAACGACACGCGAAACTGCGAGCCGCTGTTCCGAGCGATCCTTGGCAGTGAAGAGGGGGGGGGGGGGTGACGAGCTTGACTGTGTTGTCCGCTGCCGATGCGTAAAATGCCCGTACAATATTCAGAGGAGCTAGCGAGTGATGTGGAACATTCCTTGCGAAGAAGCACGTCACCAAGAGTGCGCTTGCGCGTCGTTCCTGCCCGCAGTCTCGCTGTCAGCGGAGTTAGGCCTAAAGCCAACTCCGATGACGCGCCGCACTCGTAGACCGCCGCGCACCCGCTTGTAGTAATCTGATCGTGCATCCGGTGCGGCCACTCGTAGTAATCAGATCGTGCCGCCGCTTACAGCTTCGTTGCTTGCGAAGAAGCACGTCGCCACGAATGCGCTAGCGCGTCGTTCCTGCCCGCAGTCGGCGGAGTTAGAGCTAAAGACGACTCCAATGACGCGCGGCGCTCGTAGACCGCGCTGACGCTCGTAGTAACCTGATCACGCATCCGCTTACTGCTCGTAACTAAAGCGTAGTTATATCTTAAGTGAATATCAAGCCGTGAACACGTCACGAAGTGGCGATTTTCGAGAGCCATGTCCTCGCGACGCACAAGCAGCAGACGACAATCTCCCGGAGCGAGCATCGGGCCAATGGCGAGGCGAGCTGAGGCAACATGGCGGCCACGGCCAATCAAGGGCCTCAAAACGACCTTCAAACATTTGCTTTTTGCTCGCTTGTTGTTAAAGGGAGGAGCCAGCTGAGGCGGGAAAGTTAAACACGGAGAAATGCTCTTTCCGATGAGCCCAAGAAGCCGGCTCCCGGCCCAAGCATCGTGAAGCTATAATTTTTTGAAAAACGCAGTTTTCTCGCCATTTCCAGAAAAATTTTTGCTACCTAGGTGGGTGAAACAAATTTTCTGAAGCACTTTTGCGCGGTTTTCAGTGTAGATATTTTGGAACCGGATAGAAAAAGGGTTCCAGAAACGGAAAACTTGAGTTTCAAAAAATCAATTTTTTTTTGCCATTTTTCGCGATCCCAAAGCCGCGTCCCCCCTTAAGGGAAAAAGACTAAGAGCTTGGCCAAGAAGCGTGTAAAGACCACGTGAATAAGCCTACAGCACAATGCTGTTTTTCGCCAAGGAAAGCAGATCAAATTATTTGCAAAAATGGTTGCATTATTTAATTCAATAAATTGAGTGAAAATTGCCTGCACGTGAAATCGAAAGCAAAATCACATTGGCAACAGCCTCCCATCAGAAGTGTCAGACAGTGTCATTGCCGTCACATAATAGTGAGAAAGCACAAGCTTCCTTTCACAGGACACCTTTGCAGACTATTTGTCGTCTTGTGCAGGGCAACATGTAGAGTTTGGCCGTTCACGTCAAGCGAGTTACTTAGCACGATGAAACAGCTGTGTCATGTCCTTTCGCACTCTCAAAGCCTCCGACTGCCAGTGCCACAAATGAAGGAAGATACAGTGAAATCTCGATACAACGAATTTGAAGGGACCGCGGAAAATAGTTCGTTATTTTGAAATATCGTTATAGTGAAAACATCGAAAATTCACATTAAAAATCGTAAATGCAACAAAAGGAGTCGCCTACCTTTGCTGTGTACACATCCGCAAACGCTTGATTTTATGACGAGCGTGAAAAGAAACAAAACGCGAAGTATTCCGGAATGAGCGCACGTTTATTTGAAAAAGTCGGTGATCTTGGCCTGGCGGGTGCCGCTCAACTGCCGCAGGACGAACGCTTCGAAGTTGTTAACATTCTTATGCTCTGCTTCGGTGGCATTGCTGCACCTGCCAAGGTAAGTGCGCATCTTTCGCACGCATTCCATGATGTCGGCGTTGGAAAGCGATTCTTCTGGTTGGCTAACGGGCGCGGTCTCAGCGTCGTCTTCGCCATTGGCGTCCTCGTCGCTGTTATCACCACGAACAGCACTGACGATGTCATCGGTCGTCAGTTCGGCTGACGTGCATGCTTCGTCGTCGCACTGCACATAGTCCTCGAACGTCACCGAGGCATC